GTGGGCGGGGGTGGTGTTGTACACTGATTGCAGTCCCAAGGCTGTTTGTTACCCATTTTGCAACTTCTGTAAGAGGTGAATTGGGCACAGTTTCCTTTACATCACAACTATTGCTGTTTAAGACCATGGCCATCCTGTACAGGTTATGTGGAAAAAGATAGCATGATAGCACACATAAGCTTGTGTACGCTCAAAGGAGCTTATTTAGAGTAGCATGAATAGCGTTCCAACAGCAAATGTTTCTGTTATTTGTCTGTACATACTTTAGCTAATGAAAAGTGTAGTGGAGAATCCCGGATTCTGCTCTAGAAGAGCGTAGGTTTGAGCAGTTAGATCCTTCTGCCATCCTCCTCCTGGCCTGTTTGCTCATCCCCTCCCTATTCTCTGCTGATGGTCTTTGGACCATTTCCCCCACTCAAATGCTCCATATTCAATCTCAGTTTCTTCACTGTATACAGCTGCCGCAAAAGCAGACCTATTTGTCTTTGGACTGATGTACTTTTTACTCCAAACTGTTTTGATAGTTCTCAGTTTTGATGCCAGACCTTGCTAAACAGTCAGAAGAAAGCTGTGGGGAAAGCCTGCTTATCTGTGTTCTCTTCATCACTGGAGTCTTTGAGGAAGCTCCTTCCTCTTCCCCCTCAAAACTTGGAACAAAAGTGAGTATATTTTAGCAGTAAATTCAGGTCCTGGTGCAGAGGCAGTTCTCCCTTGTGGTAGGTAGAGGGCAGGGCTTGACTGGTTGGGCTGGGGGGCACTTGAATAGGCTTTCATCTACTGGTTCCTCAGCCTTGGCCTTTTCCTGCTGCTGGCCCAAGGCAGGGCTGGCCGAATGAAGGGGAAAATGAAGGAAGTGAGAAGACTGCCAGGCTGTAACTCACTCAATAGCAAACTGCTTAAGTACAGAGCAGGAGGAGGTCTGCCTGTCTGACACAACAGGCAGCATGAAGTTGGTGGTAGTTGATTGGTATTGAAATTAAATCCAGCCAGGATGCCTATGTGATGGTAAAAGGCTGTTTTTTCCACCTTATTACTTTCTCCAGGATGAGATCCAGGGTGAGACAGGCAAACCTGTCATGTGTGTTACCAGCTCATCCAACTTCAGATATCCAAGTCAACAGCGTGTCCACAATCCTCCCTCGTGCTGTGTGGCCTTGGGATTTGCTGGAGAGGAGGCACTGGAAATGTTGTTCCTTGGAAATACAAATAGCATGCTGAAGAGGAGAGGTGAATTCCATTGCAGTAAACTATAATACTTGGGGTAGGGCAGTACATTTAAAATGTGGGGGGAAAAATATTTTCCCCATTTCTTGTTCTTCTGGAGTATTTTCTGGATTCTTTTAACAAGCAGAGCTTTATGCTGCATGAGTCTAGGAGTGTCACTGCGCTTAGAAATAGCAGCCTCATGTAACAGGGATATTAGTGTGGCAACCCAGCAAACAGGAGCTCCTTGTGTTGTAACCTCCTGTGATGTTAGTGGGATTGAGTAAATGATGGCTGAAGCTCTTGTAATACCTGTGAAAGGCAT